TATGAAAATTTCAAAGCTGTCGATTGGTGTTTCCTTTTAGACGATTATTCCCATTGAAAGTTTTGTTTGTTAAACCAAATTACTCTAAAATTGTACATTAACTTCAAAGCTATCACTTCATTTTAAAATCATTTTCATTCATCAAAATCATTTTAACATTAAAACAATACTAACTATTTAAACTTTCTTATAAAACCATTAAAGGTATTTAAAGAAAAATAAATATATACAGAAATGTACCCGTATGCCTGTATACTAGCTCATTGGAAAAGTATTCTGTTCACGGCAAGTCCGGCGCTAAGATTGTATCTATTTGATGAGAGGCACGGTGGCCTCTCGCTAACCAGTCAGCTAATCACCAGTTTGTTACCATACTAATACAATCCTATCTTGAAATTCCTGCAAAATCTAAGCGGCTATTAAACGGTTAAATGCTATGTTACCATCCTTTACACTAGCGCTTAAGCTTAGACAATTTTCTCTATCTTTATACTATTGTATTCTCAAGTGCTTGCCACAAAGTTTAATGTTTGCTTAACATGTCCTTAGTATACGTTTCTTATTAAATCTACACTAAGTAACTTCCTTATTATTATTAAATTTATTAGCGTAAATCTGTCGATTGTTTCACAATAATCAAATTAAATAGTTCCCCATTGAATGCTGTTGTACGCCGAGAACCGAAAATCACTCAGCCATTATATCGATATGTAAATAAATTAAATTTTACAGCGTGTCCAACATTAATCGGGTGGCGGGGATTGTGCAATCATATTTTTATATATACATATAGAGTTGTTACAACTTTCAATCTAATAAAATTATGTAATTGAAAGATCATACTGAATATTAATTAACAATAAGACAATTGTTATTCTTCTATCTTATTATATTACAAAACGAAAAGCGTTACATAATCAAACAAAAATGTTATGACAAAACCAATTTAATCTTGTATCGATTGTTCAATTTTCAATTAGCTTTTTACCGTATAATTTGAGTGCTGCCTGCTGTATTAAAAGATATTGACATCCCTTTCATTCTCTTTGACAAAATAGAGTCAACAATATGTACTGATATAATTGACACCGCACTGGAGTAGTATTTTACAGTAATACGAACACATATATCATCATCAGCTCACTATACGTCCCCACTGAGGGACTCGTAGCCTACTCTAAGTTACGGATGACTAGGTCATAGTCAACCACGCTGACCCAGTGCGAGTTGACTTCACATATATCTTTTAATCTCTTATTAGATATGTGCAGTAGTGAATAAATGTACATAAGTAAATAGAAAATCGGAAAAAACATTGGTACTGTTAGGAAGAAAATCCGACACTGTGCGGGTGTATCGGCGCTACACTAGTCTTATTAAAATATCAAAGTTTATGTCCCCTAATCATTCCAACACTTGACTTGGAAATGAATGCGGGCCATTCGCGCCAAATGACTAACTAATAATAACTAAAAGTACGTGGCTGAATTTATACCCAGGAATTTGTATCATACGTTGTATCAACTCTATATGATTACGTAGATATTGACTAAATGATCACAACATTGAGTAGTAGAGGCGGTGTCGGTCGTCGTTCTCTGCACTCACATGACCGATCGCTCGATTAAACTCTTACTATGCGGTAGCATTGTACCTTGTTCATTTTATTATCCAAATTACAATTTATATCAGAAATTACAAATTAAAAAAGTAACTTCATTTAACCCAAAGATTAAAAACAAAGAAAACTGCATGTCTTACATCATTTTATTACGATTTATATGAAAACGCTTCCTCTTTCTTAGCAGAATGGCTCTCGTATCATCGTAGCATGGATTTCTCTAAAATTTGGCATAAATGTAGAACATTGTTTGGATATGTGTTCTACATACTAATTAAGTTCCGCACGGACGGAGTCGCGGGCAGCAGCTAGTCAGTTAATATTGCAGCAATGAACCGATCCATGCATTCCGTCACACGCAGAAAGCTTTAGTTGTATTTACTTCTTGTATAAGATGAGGTACCAGGGCGCTCAAAAAGCTTAAGATATGACATCTGATCCGCATGCTAAGAAGATGATTTTATAATCAATAAAGACGGTCGAAGTTATTTATAGACTGTACTAAACTAGAACTATCTTAGTTATTCGAAGCGAAAGTTATGAGCGTGGAGGGTGTAATACAATGCCGAAGTCGCAAACTGTCGCGGCAAGTGCGTACGACGACATCTAGTGCGTCAGCGGGGCGCCATTAGCCCCGGTGTCGGGTTCTCTTCCTGTCCCAGCCAACGCATTACTTACGCTCCTTCAACACGACCATGCAGTCATTAATGTCTAATATAACAACTAGGAATGTTGATTTAGTACTTTTATGTTTAGGATTTATTCGGCAATGTGAGAGTTATTAGTTTTTACAAGCTCCTATTTCGTATGTACCGATGTTTGTCATCAAATCTTGCAAATCTTTCTGGTTACTAATTGAGACGAAATTGTGAATACATATGTAAATCGCATGACAGTGGTAGAGCCCGCTTTAACATCTTCGCACGAATTGACCCGGCTCGCCCGGTGAAATACCACGACCACACAGAAGACAGGCGTGAAGTGGAAGCAATTCCGCGTTTCGTCTGATGAGTGTGCGGCCAGCGGCCTAATTTAGTCCACTTTCCCTTCGCACCCGTTTTCTTATAAAGAAAGGATGGGAAGTGGAACTGAACTTTCCGGATGAGAGGATGCATGGAAAGGGAAGATTTTTGATTTTTCTTTCTGTGAATCCTCTCCTCCGTCGATTAAAGGTAGGCGACGCATATGCAAATGCGTATGTCTATGGGCAACGGTCACTTCGCTATTTCAGCGTTTCAGGTGGCGGCTCGCTCGTTTGCCACCTTTTGATATAAAAAAAATAATATTGCAATATCATGATGACATAGTGTTAACTAGATTATGGAGCTGGATGGTTGTCATAGGAACTTCGCAATGAAACAAACTAATCGAGATTATGCTCGTTTGAATCGTCTTGACGATCTTTTTTAATATTTACAATTCTTTTAAATAACAAGATTATAATAAAAGCTTGTTTTTATAAGTCTCGTGGTGACTGCATTACTTATCTGAACCGTGCAAATAAGTGGTTATTGATGGTAGTTTCAAAAATAGTATACCAATATTTTTACTAAATTAGACGTTAAACGTAACACTTTATTAAGCTCTGAATGTTCATGTGAAAAGAGAATCGTCTAAGGGTCACTATCTTCATAATTATAATATGGTACAAATATAATAACAATAATTATCCAAACTATGTTGCCAGTATATATAATTATAGCAAGTGAGATGCGTATTTCCGACATGTAATACGTTAGTAACATCTGCTAGTAAAATCTCGTAAAAGCTCACAGCATACGGCATTTCCAATGCAAAACATATGTGCAAGACAGTACGGCAAGCAGATTTTATGATTTAAATTCACTCTACGACCTCTATCTAGTTCAGATTAATAGCGACAAACAGGCATAGGCAAATGAAATGACACATTATGCTTTACTGAACTATGAATAAATTAAAGAGTTGGTCGATAATAAAAACATAAACAATATTTTTACCAACTTACTGAAATATGTGTATCATCAAAATGTCTTATTTATATCTGTACGTTTTTACGTACTTTAAACAACCTTGTGCAAGTAATATAAGGGTGTGATCACATTAAATCCTAATATTTATTTTGTAAGAAATTTAAAAGTCGAACAATAATTGAAATTCGTTTGACAGCATAATTAGCTGGCGCCCGAGATTTCATTCGCGCGCAATTAAAGAGAACTTTATTAGTAGCCAATCTTCTTGACTATTTTCTACATCTATGCCAAATTTCGTCAAGATCTGTTGAACCTTTCTGACGATACCTTCTAACAAACATCCATCTATTTAAACATTCGCATTTATAATATTAGTAAGAAGTATAATAAGATAATTATGTAGAAAAAATACAGCTTGATTAGGGTCGGTTAGGTTTATATTTATCTCCTCTCATATTTATTTTTTGTTAGCTGTCGCCCGACTCTCCGTCCGCGTGGAATTAAAAAAAAACGATTGGTCGCAGCGTAATGTTATATAGCCTAAAGCCTTCGGACAAGTAGTTCCTGAGATTAGCGCGTTTAAACAAACTCTTCCGCTTTATAATATTAAGTATAGATGTACATATTGAAAGAATCGCTTCCCGCTGTTAGTGTATCGTAGGTGTAAACAGAACAACCTGTTATCATGCACGTGGCAAGCATCATACAACATAGTATATCAACATAGCAAATAACCGACCGATACACATTGCAGCGGCTATTCAAATATCATGATATTGTGAAGACCATTTCCGATTCAATTTAGTCTTATCTTACGAATATTATAAATGTGAAAGTTTAGATAGATGGATATTTGTTTGAAGATACCTCAGGAAAGTCTCCACGGATTTTGATGAAATTTGGCACAGATGTAAAACATAGTCTGAAAGAACACATAGGCTACTTATATTTTTTTAATATAGCGCGGTCTAAGTGGCGGGCGACAGCTATATAACTTTAACAAAAAATATCGTACTAGCTGTATCCCGCGATCTCACTTGACATATCGTCCACCTTTATTAGGATCTTAATATAAAAGTTATTTTACAAATTATGTATCAACGAGTTCAAATAAAACTTGTCAACTATAAAAAAGAATAAAATCGAGTAAATAATACTACGTTTATATCATACTAGCTTTTGTCCGCTACTCCGTTCGCGCAGAATTAAAGAAAAATTAGTAAGTAGCGTATTCTTGCAGACTATGTTCAACATCTGTTCAAAATTTCATCAAGATTTGTTTAGCCATTCTCCAATACCTTCCAACCAACATCAGTCCATACAGCCTAACTTTCATATTCATATTATAGGATTTAATTTTTTAAAAATCGTGTACCATGTACAAAATATAACAAAAATATATACACAGTCCTAAAAAAAACACTTACCGTACCATTCCAATAACTTGATATAACTTTAACAGATCACTGAATATTATAAACAATAATTATAATTCACAATTAATTTAGACGAGTATCACATACGTGTTTCCGTGCATCGCCTCTCTGACGTGCGTTCTCAACTGACGTGTGAACGACATACAAACTTTGCAAAGTGCAAGTCTATACCACATCACTTCAACCACAGAGAAATGGAACAGTTTTAAACAATTAATATTGCCTGAATCATATTCATCGCTTAAGTTTTCAACGTTTTTTGCGCATTGTTTTTACTCACAAGATGGCGTCTCCTATATTGATTATTTTCAGCTTTGCGAATGTAATATATCTCAATTTATTGAATCTCCTATAATTCTCTATGGTGTTATTACTTTGAAGCGACGTTACGTGATTTATTGCGGGTAATTTGAAAGAGGAGACAAGTGCATTTCCTCGTCAAAAACCGCTTTTCGTTCCCGAGGGATCCTTTGTCGTTGCACTTATTCATTCGATACGCTACACTCTTGATGAAAATCCGTTGGAGGTGAAATACCTTTCACATCTATGACATTCATATAACTTCGTATACGAAGAAAGTCATAGTATCTACACAAAAAAAAACAATTAAAAACTCTTGCAAGAAGCATAGAGCATTGATTCTCAAAGATATTTTTATTTATCTAATAGCAATTATATAATATAAACTAAAGGCAATGAATTCGAAAATTTAAAAAATTAATCTACTATTATTATAAATGCGAATGTTTGGATATATAGACGGATGTTTGTTAGAATGTATCTCTAGGACGGCTCAACAGATACGGCCAAACATAGTATGGAAGAATATATAGGCTACTAATTTAGTTTTTTAATTCCGCGCGGACAGGGTCGCGGTCAACAGCAAGTATGCTAATAATAAGAATACTGCCAATATTCTGCCAAATATTGTGATGTTAAGCACAATGTTCTTTTTGTAAAGACCAAATGCTCCCATAGTATTTACGGGGTTGAAACATGTGGGTTACGAGAATCAATTATCAGCATCCTTTAGGAAATTAAAAAACAAGAGCAGGTTTCAACACTAGTGTTGGACATATTGACTCGATAAATTTATAAATTATACGTGTCTTATTTATCACTTAAATGTAAAAACCCTTAATTTTATAAACAAGCTGTCGCCCGCATATTTGAAATACTTAATTAGTTGCATATTTGTTCTTCCAGACTATGTTCTACACCTATGCGTGCCAGCGAGAACCATGCAGCCGTTCTAGAGATAGCTTCTATAAAATATTCATCCATCCATCCATACAAACATTCGTATATACAATAATTAGTAAGATGAATCTATGTTAATCATTTACATGTGGTATTGATATCTTAAACTATCGATCGATTTTTGCCTTAGAAAGTCCCACGTACTCAGCAAATTTAAATTAAATTTATTTCATTTTGTGATGAAGGAGATTAAAATACTTTAATCACAAACTCTCCAGTCAATACTCTTTAAGAAGAATCTATTTTTAAAACACACAATTCATATAGATATGCAGCCTAACAAAAGTTGTAATTGTGTATGTAAATACGGAAGGAATGAGATATTTTATTATCTCGTAGTACTAGAGTTTGCTTCTTGTTTGCAAGACTTAGATTTATCGACATCCGCCGTCAAGCTTGCAAACTGAACGGACCACACATTCAGCTATTATCCCAGCCCACCAACAGCCTCTTATTGCTTTCTTATTAAGATATTAAAATATAAAATAACACAAATGCTATATTAATAACGTGACCAACTAAATTTATTTTGCTTTATGAGAAATAGAACGAAAAAAGATAGTGTTCTCTTTTAATTTGTAATTTTATTATAATAACGTTAAAATAATGACGATTTTTAAAAGATTAATAAATGAAGTTTAACGAACTTGGGTGGTCTGGTCTATTTTAAATCTGGTAACTTCAGTTTGAATTGCTGACCACGTATTGGTGCGTAATCGTTATTTAATTGTCTATTCTGTTCTGTTCTGCTCTTTGTTCTGTTTTAAAATAGATAAAGAATCATAAGGCTTTTAGTCCATCATTATATCATTTTTGGGATAGTTCCTGGTAACTGTACCACTGAGAGACATTAAATATTGTCAAATACTTTGTTCTAATTTCCTTTCACGTTCTAACGTGTTAATTATCATTGGTATACTATCATATCTTTCTAATATTATAAATGCGAATGTTTGAATAGATGGATGGGTATTTGTTATACAGTATCTCCGTAACCGCTGCATGGATCTTGCTAAAATTTGGCATAGATGTAGAACATAACCTAGGAGATCACATAGGCTACTAATTAAGATATTCTTTATTTTCGTGCGGACGTAGTCAGGGTTGTCAGCTAGTATAACATCGGAACAACTTCCGTATATAAAATAGTTCGCTTTGCGCATGCTACGGGCTAACGATAAACGTAATGATAGTAATCGTCGGCATCGCCAGTCGACGCGTCTCTTCATTTATAATAGCCATGGGAATAAAGAGATGTTAGGAACAAGCTTACTTAGTGAACCCTTAAAGTGATGTTACACAATATAAAATTATAAGCAATTTTTTTTCTTTTGAATTTGGAATATTTTTTTTCAGCTGTGAAAATGTGTTTTTGGTTAATTTTTCTTTGTTTGTGGTAGATATTGGAGTTTTGTATACAAATTAAAAATTATGTAATGAGTATTTTATGGTATCTCTACTACATACATAGCTAAAGGTAAATATTAAGATTTAAGTGTATCTTTTCACATTTAATTTGTGGTATTATTAAACCCTACATTTTTTTCTATAAAGAAATAAAAATTCTTTGATAAATAACAACACTCTTCTATAACTCGATTGAATCTTAACCTTTTTGGAGCCGCTAAAAATAAATAAAAACAAAATTATGTTATACATCACTGGGTGCACGACTTTCACTATTCGATAAACTATAACATTATTAAATCAGTTGATGATAGACGTATCCATGGCGCTATAAATCAGAATCAATAATCGGCCATAATCGATACACGGACCCGATGCCGACAATCGATTTATAATCGACTCCACTCGCCTATAATGTTACGTTGTTTCACACGAGGGTAACACAATGAGACAGAACAATACTGCTATTATTTAAACGTAAAAGACAGAGTAGACCACGGGCTGTGCTATGAAGAATTGTTTAGGACAATTCCTGAAGCCGAGTTCCGTCATCAGACGACACGACAGACCACCAGATTCCACCACACCATCATGATGGCTGGCAATCCATAACCGTGCGGTTTTCGCGAAATTTTCTACCTCGCATAGCCGCTCTGTGGAATTATCTGTTCTCCGCAGTATTTCCAAACAGCTACGACTTAGGGTTCTTCATTCTCTTATATAAAAAAATATTCAAACAATAGCATTTAACTGTCCTACTGCTCTTCCACACTGTTCTACTCTATTGTTACATCTGGACACACAAACACAGTGAAGACACAAAGATGTAACACAATTCAACTCTGTTTTTTATACGTTTAACATCATAATCATAGTGTTTATCGTGATATCAGATAATTATCTACTAATAACTACAGTAACAACTAACACTTGTCAGTATACGTAAATTATAACTTAATAACCCACTAGCAGTAACCCGCGACGTTGTTCGCCGTAATAAAAATAGTCTATATCACCTGGGGCTAATGTAGCTTCCCAACAATGAAAGAATTTTTAAATCGGTTCAATAGCTTTGGAACCTATTTAATACAAACTAACAAACAAACAATAATTTCCTCTTTATAATATTACTACAGATTAACTTTAAACATCGTATTGATAACTACTTATAATACTTTAGCCTTGAGTGTAATGAACAATATAATCTTTGAAAGCTTCTTCATTTTTTTATGTTAGATCATCGTCAGTTCACTATACGTCCCCACCGAGGGGCTCGGAGTCTACCCTAAGTTAGGGGTGACTAGGCCTTAGTCAACCACGCTGGCCAAGTGCGGTTTGGTTGACTTCACACATATCTTTGAATTTCTTCTCATATATGTGCAGATTGCATCACGATGTTTTTCCTTCACCGTAAGAACGTCGGATAAATGTACTTATGTAAATCGGAAATCGAAAAAAACACATTGGTACATTACGGGATTCGAACCCAGGACCTGCAGATTGCAAGTCAAGTGCAATCCTTTTTAATATAAGATATATGGTCATAAATGTAGTCTATGTTTTACGTACATGTTGTTGTTACTCCTGGTTTATATATCTGAGGTTAACTTATAGGTTAGAAATAATAAAAATCGAATTTTAAATTTATTCACTACCATATCAAATTACTATTCACAAGAAGTTATCACTTTGACGATAATTACTTGTATCTTTGTAAATTGTATCTACTTTGTCTACAATGTTGAGGATAAAAATGTATTCTCATTCGACCTCAAAGACCCTTACTGATAGATTAACAGCATTACTAATTTATTTTAAAGATGCCGCACCCTGTATGTGGTTACCGTCGTAGGCATTTTATTTTAATAGTTACAACCTTATAAGAAGACGACACGAATAAATAATACTGAACGTGGAAAAGTAACATCCTGTATATCGTTAACTAATGTATTTTTAACATTCAAGGAATGAAGTTTTGAGTAGTTTTAAGTTATTGAGTTATACTAGGAAGTTTTTTTAATTTTATATCGGTCTTATTGCAAAATCATTACTTATACTTTTAGCTCGTAGTTTTTATATTGTATGCATTATTTTGTTTGTAATTTCCAGTAAAAATAATAACTTTCTCTGATACGACATACAACGCCATCTAGTGTCTAATGGCTGAACTAAATATCATATCAGTAATTTTTTTGTGTTATGAAACAAATACTTTCTCATTATATATTAATTAAGTTAAGTTTATATTTTAAAGTACTTATACAATAAATTGGATTGAATCAAAATCACGTATTAACTCTTTTTTTTACGATGAACATAATATTATCTTAATAGTTTTTAAGAGTGTTGTTTTTAATACTAATGAAATTATTCGTACATTAGATGCTACAATTTAAAAAAGAAAATTTTAAAGGTGACTTTCCATAATCTGAATCTTTAGGTCGTCTCTTACAATATTTCCTTTTTAATTGAAATGAAATTATTTTACTAAGAAATGTTCACTTAAACGCTACGCATTTCACCTTCTTCGATGGTTTAAACAAATGTAGGTCGCGAATTCCAACAAGAATTTTTCACACTCCTTCAGAAGCGGATTTCAACATTTTCCCAAAAGAATGATACTGATAAATTTAATCTTGCAAACATACACACTATCGTATCCCTGTATCATATAGTTACGCAAGTTTCTAATCTCAAAGCTGTCAATCCTAACGATAGGCCGAAATCGAATTCTTTATATTATCTGCAATAAGAGTAACTTTATCTTAAAAGAAATTGTGCCGTCTCGAATATTTAGTCATTGAGAAGATAGGATTCTATGCGATCGCGTCCGTTGACGAAAACTGTTTAACTTCCGGGGGACTTACAACGTCACCAAGAGGTCAAAGATGGATCGACCTAGCACTAGCAGGCAGTCAATTGAGAAGGTGGAAATGTTCGAAGTAAGAGAACATGTTCCGTACCAGGCGGAGTTAACCAGAGCTCCCGCAGCATATGATGCTGAAAGTGGCGAAATGTATAGTTCCTCGTGGAATTCGGCGTGGCAAGCAATCTGTCAGCTGTTCAATCTGCTCCATCACATGCAGATCGCGATTGTTGTCTTCAGCATGTGGCATTTCGCTCTAACATCTTCACCAAATGGATCAATCAGTAATCTTCAGTTGCACATCATATTTGCTGGAACCGGCGTACGTAGTCATTTTGTTTCATAAAATTAACAAAAATCGTTACAATAATCAAGTGTTCTATTATGACTGCGATGCATAAATATATTTTTAAATTTTGTGACATGTATTTCAACCATTGATCTCTATAAAATGATAGAAAGAAAGAAAGGAAAAGTTTTTATCATAGGTAATAAAGAATTAACCAAAAACAATAACTAATATAAAAATTGCACACAACTGAGAAATTAAATTAAACTTAAGTTACCATTTATGGTTATTTTGTGTAATCTAGTGATGCCCAAACTAGGCAATACTTGTATTTTGGGCACATTCAAATAGGTATATAATATTCTGTCCTCAAAATTATAACTAGACTATTGCTTGGAAATGACTTTTGTTCCATTCATTTTCAACCGCGCCTGTCGATATTACGTGACAGTTCATTCTATTAATATTATTAGTTAGAATCCACTCCACCGCCATAAACTACTAACATCAGCGACAAAAACGGCGAAAATCAAATAGGCACAAAATACCACATCTTTTAGCCAGTCCATTTAAAGAGGTCAGAGATTTGAACCAATACCAATCTTGCGATTATTGCACAATATTCTTATCTGTAATCATGATAGTATATAAGAGCCCACCTATATTTTTTTACCAGACCTTGACGTTCTAATGATATTTGACGTGTTTCAGTATCAATTATTTTTGGTGGAAGCCGTACTAACTCTACACAGGCATAACGCGTGGTCTGGCCATTTGTCTCTGGATGGTAAGAGAATCGTGCACGGATGTCTCCAACTGATCGGTGCTATATTTGTCATTGCTGGAACCTTCTTGGGCTTAGCAGAAGTTGATATGCAGATCAACACGCCTCATGGAATCTGCGGTATGGAAAACTAACGAAAATAATTCATTTTTGACCAACTAGAGATGACACCACTTTCGTTCGCTGGCAATTAATAGTTTGGAATAATAATAGGAACTTATTCAAGTAATTTTCAAGTTAACAAAGTCGTAAATAGTACAATTATAAAATGTTACTTCATTTATCTAATATTATAAATGCAAATGTTTGGGTGAATGGATGGATGTTTGTTGAAAGTTATCTTAAGAACGGCTGAATGGATATCGATTTAATTTGACATAGACATAGAACCTGGAAAAACAGATAGTCTACTAATTAAGATTTTTTTTAATTCCGACAGAGTCGCGCACAACCACTAGTATTGCAATTAAACTATTTTAAAAAATAGCATCTGAAATAAATATTCTTCTCTCTCTAAAAAAAATCATATTTATATAAATATTTGTCTTGTTTTCAGGTGTCATAGCGTTAGCATTCTCATTGATAAGTTTTATCACCGGTATCATAGCTCTCTTCTCGTCGAAAGTACGTTTAATGATCAAGACTGGACCGGTGAAGATATTGCATATTGCTGTTGGCTTATTCGCGATATCAATGGGCCTTATCACAATGGCTATTGGTTTCAACATGGACTACTTTAGTGCGACACAACCTGGCTTGTCAACAGCCCTTATGGTATTCGTGGTCATGATTCTATTTTACATTATTATACAACCTATTGTTGACTTAGTTACTACTTCCCGAAAAGTTATGTGACTGCAAGATATTGACGGCTCTACTGATGGCCACAGCAATGCATAAATTTTAATATTTTATACTTTTAATTTAATATAGGGATACATTTTTAAAATTATTTAGACGCGTCTAAATTTTTTTTTAGGGTAAATTATATATTAATGAGTTATAATGTAAATGATTGGAGGTGTATGTTTATTTAAATTTTTATTCGTAATTTATAATTACGATACAAATAAAAATTTTACAATGTGCTTGTACGTATTCAGGTTACTGGAAAGATAGGACAGCATATGATGGAATTTTTAGTTTGTATTTTAAAAGTCGATTTTTTTTTGTTACTGGTATTGTTATTGTGGCATAATAATATTAAGTAGATTAGTGACCTAATACGTGTGATGCGAATGATTTTTAATAAAACTTATTTTTATTACAATGGGTTTTTATTACTATAAGATATTGTTTTAATAAAAATTGTTACAGAACTCATAATTAAGTTTATCAGATGAGGCAGGCTACTATGAAAAGAGTTTCCTTTTCCATTTCATTTAAAACTAATACCAATTTAAAGAAACCAAAGTTTTGCTTACTGAAAATGTTTGAGGCGGATAAGGCGTGTATGTAAAAAAAACTATACAGATATTATAAATAAAGTGTAATTTTTTGGTTAATTCTTGTCCTAGGACGACTTGTCCTATTAGCTATCTTACATTGTTATATTAAAATTGCGATTGTTTGGATGTATGGATGGATGTTTGCTAATAGGCATTTCGGCATCTCCATAAAAGCTTAAGAGCAGACTCATTACATGGCACAGATGTTTTTGGCATAGTGTAGAAGAACGCATAGACTAATTAAGTGTTTTATCAAAATCCAAGCGGAACGTTTTTTTTATTTTATATACTCTTTGGCGGAACGAGTCGCGGGCTACCGCTGGTAGAAATTACGAATCATATAAAAAAATGATATTTTCCCGGCAAACTTTTCTAGTAATTTAATGACGAGTTTAAAAAAAAACGGTAAAATGAAAACATAATGTTTAGATGCTTCTTTTATAATCTTTGGTGAAATATAATCTACGACAAAAACTATCAAATTGAAAAGTTTGCTGTCATCTCCCTGTCATCCGGCGAAGCTGTTTTTGGACTGTTATTAAATTTCGCTAAAATATCTTTAGTTATACATCTATTCAAATATCCGTGATAATTATCAAAAATGGTAAGAGATTAATCTCAAAATCATCAATTTGTAATAAAAAGTTAACAACCATTTTAATATAATAAGGTTAGCAACATCTTGCTTGGTCATTCTTGTTTGATACATCGCTTTTTCTGTTTTCTCTAGGCTCGCCGTTATGATACTCGCACAACAATATTTTCACCCGAAGGTAATTATCATGATTTGTACTAATTAATGAGAAAGTCTTTATTTTATATTAATTTATCTCAATTTTAACTACTTTGTTTAGGGCGACTGTATCAAGTCGAGTATGCGATGGAAGCTATCAGTCATGCCGGAACATCCCTCGGTATTCTGGCCACAGACGGTATATTACTCGCAGCTGAACGTAGAAACACTAACAAGTTGCTTGATGAAGTGTTTTTCTCGGAGAAAATCTACAAACTAAATGATGACATGGTCTGCTCAGTCGCCGGAATTACATCTGATGCCAATGTTCTGACCAATGAATTGCGCCTCATTGCTCAGCGGTATTTATTGCAATATGGAGAGTCAATTCCATGTGAACAGCTTGTTTCATGGCTTTGTGATGTAAAACAAGCATACACTCAGTACGGAGGCAAGTATAAATTTTAGTAACCCTTATTGGTTTGTCAATTTCTTTTTTCATATATTGAAACAGTGAATAAATAAAAAAACATCAAAGTTTAATTGTTTAATCTATCTGTTTCAGGTAAGCGTCCATTTGGTGTATCCATTTTGTACATGGGTTGGGATAAACACTATGGCTATCAATTATATCAGTCTGACCCCAGCGGTAACTATGGAGGATGGAAAGCCACATGTATTGGCAACAATAGTGCTGTAAGTTAAATATCTTGATTAAAACAATGGTGACAGTGATATTTGCATGTCACAAAATATAATGTGTCTATAGTGTTCGGTTTTAAAAAATATTTTAATTTGGAAAGGCTATTTGAATTAAAAAAAACTATTTAATTTGACAATATAAATATTAATTTCAGGCTGCAGTTTCTAGTCTCAAGCAAGAATACAAAGAGAATGAAACTACTTTGGCTGAAGCTCAAGCACTAGCAATCAAGGTTCTGAGTAAAACTCTTGATATGACTAAACTTACACCAGAAAAAGGTAAATATATCACAAAATGTTAAAATTTGATACATTATTTTAATGTAAATGTGAACATTTTTAACATTATTGTTGTTCTATTATAGTTGAGATGGCAACCCTTACAAGAAAGGATAACAAAACTATAATCAGAATCTTGACAAGTACAGAGGTGGAAAAACTTATTGCCGAGTTTGAGAAGACTGAGGCTGAGGCAGAGGCCGCTAAGAAGCAACCACCTAAATCATAATTTTTGTAACATAATTAAGTATTCTTTTTCAATCTAATAAACAGTTGCAAGGTTTAACAATATTTCTATATTAAATTGAGTTTTATTTATATTTTTAACGTTTCACTCAAACTTGTCAGGTTAGTAAAATTATCGAAAATTTATTTTTTCTTAAGGAACATTGGAGACGAACCTCCTAGGGTTAATAGATGGTCTAACTCGATTTATTCTTAAGTAAATATGATTGTTACTAGATGCGAACCAACAAGTAACGTAAAAATGCAAGAAAAGTAGCAACTATTTTTATTAAAACACAAAGACCATACTTTAATAAATTATATAAAGCGGTATATAAAAAGTAACCACACCATACTGAAGCTACACCAAATTGATACCAATCAACATATAGTTGTGATTGTGACGTTGTCTATTGTCAACTTGTCAATCTTATGTCAAAGAGCGAACTGTCATTCGTAATTTCTTATTGACGGTGGCGAATTTTTTGTATAATTCTAATACTAACTAATACAAATACACTATACCCTGTAAAGAAAACAATTTATCGATTGACATGAAAATGGGTACCGGAACTGTACCTAAGATAGGAAAAGATGAGATGAATGTACGGCTGCTTCTTAATAAATGTGAATTAATTGCGAAACAAGAGCCCGTGGAAGGGAACTGGAGACTAAAACAATACGTCGATGCTTTGGGTGAAATGATAACCGAGTTAAAAACTGGACCTGAGTGAGTTCATAAACAGTCTATCTAAATCTTTATATATATAATTCTTCTGCGAGTGTGTATGTCACTGAACTCCTCTCAAACGACTGGACCGATTTTGATAAAAATTTTTGTGTGTGTTCAAGGGGATCTGGGAATGGTTTAGATTCACAATTTTCATCAAATATTAACTTCATATTAATTTATTCAAATTAAAGACGTGTAGATAAGACAATGTCTGTCGGGTCCGCTGGTATACTATAAACCTTTCTACCCTTAAATTTGAAATAATTCTTAAAATTTGTTTGTAATATTTGTATTACAGAAAAGTATCAAAGGATTTAATTGCTGAATATTCAAAACGCGCCACATTTTTGAAAGGACTTATTCAAACTGCAAGTTTAAATAGCCCTATAGAGAAGGTAAGTAAGTTAATTTTGCCCCTTCAGTGGCCACTCAGTCTAAACTCAATGTGAAATTATGTAAAAAATAAATACTTAGTATTATCACTATTTTCTATTACCTTATTTGATTACACACGTTTACATTATGCTAGTACAGTAAGACAGTAGTGCTGGCTTGGTGTGGAATGTTTTGGATCACTGGCACCAGTTGGTACTTACATTATACCAGGTCCATGCCAGCACTGATTTTGAGTGCCAATGTGTTTATAAAGAAATGTAATTTTACAGTTGGAGGCAGTTCAGCTCCTGTCTCATGGCGCTGCGACTCTGACCACAGATGCAGCAGCTCAGGAAATACATCAAAAGACAGTAGCTAAATATGGTGTTGAATTACGAACTGAATTGTTTGGTTTAGGTAAGGCATTGACAGTAATGTAAAAAGCATAAGATACATTGGTTAAAATGTGAAGTGAATCCTCTTAATGGAATAAACAAACAATACAACATTACTCAAGTCCATATTGCAGAGGGGTAAGCAGGGACCACAAACTGCCATTTGGCATGGTTGTGACACACCTCACTCGCTTCTACATTCATACATGCATAAATATACATCGCTTTTGAGTCCTTTTATATCGCCCATGAGTCATAAACCTGAATGGTGTACCACTGTTCCATTTGGGAGGGCCCCATACAAAAACAATAAAATATTAGTTATTAATATAAAAGTTTATTACAATGAAATATTAATAGTGCGTATATGCTTTCTTTTGCAGAAGATAGTGATGACACATTACGTAAAAGGAATATAATAAAAGCACCAAATTTCACCAGCAATAGTACAAGCCAGGAAGATATAGACTCACTTCTTAAATATCACCAGAATATGCAAGAAAAGGTTGCAGAAAATATGGTGCTGCTTACTAAGAGTTTGAAAGAACAATCTCAAATTGCCAGCACTATTATAAAAGGTGATACTGAGGTATGTTAGATTTTAACTAAATTTATCAAAATTAGAAATATGCATTTTACTTATTTACTACAAAAACAAAGGTTGCCTTACATACAATTAACAACTGTAAAAAATATCATTTTTAACTGGTTTTTTAGGTTATACTTAAAGGTATGTCTTTTGACCATTAAATAATTTTGTATAACGGTAACAGCCAGTGACTTTGTCTACGTATAACCTAACAGTGAAATAATTTATCAGTCAGTCAGTTCAGTAGTATCGGAGCCTAATCAAGGCAAAGAAACAAACAATCAAATCTTTCCTGTTTATTAGTATAGATTTATAAATTTTATTTAATCTGTGGGTGGTATTACGACTATTTTGAAACAATATATAATTATAGGCATTAAAGAAATCATCGGATCTAACGGACAGAAACTTAATGACACTGAAAGTGGAATCAGAACGGCTGCAGGTTCACAGCCGCAGCGCCTGGAAGTGCTGGCTCTGGATCATG